CGCCTAGGCGACGCCTTGACAACTATATTACCTACTTGAAGTAATGCAATTGAGTGAAAAAAGAGATTAGAGGTTTTGCATGCTTGAAAATGTTTTATATGTTTGATTTTATTTTTATATTCTCATTTGAATATGCTTTACATCTTATGTTTATGTATTTTAATTTTAGATAATAGGTTTTTAAAACATTATTTTAAAATTTAACTTTATGTTTTTTAGTAATCTTATGTTTAATATATTTTGACTTTTTTTTTGAATTTTTTGGCATTTGTTTTTGAATTTTCTGACATTTTAGTTTTTTTTTTGTATTTTTGTGCCTTGCTTCAAAAAGGCACGCGCCTCGCCTTGGGCCTTAGGCACAAATTGATCCCTACACCTTTTTTGCGCCTTGCGCTTTTAAAACACTAGAAGGAACAATAGTGCATTTACAAGTATTATCGGAGCTTTTGTAGATTTGTACATCAATTGTTGCGCTGTCGTTTTTTCTCTTGCCAGAAAGCCTACATGGATTTCTATCACTCATTGATTTCTCTTTTAATATATTTTATTTTGCTATCAAACAAGAAAAATTACCCTAATACATTGTTTAGTATAACATGTTTTGTCCAGAAAATATTATCTTATATTTGCTAAATAGAAAAAAAGTTACCGCAATATGTGGTGATCTTTTAGTTGAATTTAACCACTGGTATTAACTATCAGAAATTTAACTACTAAAATTCAATCGTAGATTATTAGAAATTAGCTTTTTTGTAAATACTAGCAAAATTGAAAACTTGATAATCTTATCCTCCATAGATGGAAATATTTGTATTATATTATCATGCCTTAAAAATATTTAGGGCCCGTTTGGCGCGTCTTTCTGTGCGGTCTTTTGGCTCTTTACAAGTCGGGAAGACTGATTTTTGGTCTATTTTTGTTTGGCGCGTGGAAGATCTAGCCGCCAAAAGACAGAACGCCGAAAAGACACGAGAAGCCCATTTTGGGCTGATTTCGGGGAGCTCCAAATGAAGCTTATCGCGTCTTTCACGTTTTAATCTCGCGTGGAAAGACGCGGAAAGACACGCGTTAAGTCGCACGTCTGCCTAACATGCTTCGGGCTGCTCAGATCTTCATGCAAAAGCTCAATGCGTCTTTTGCATGTCAGAGCTACCAGAAGATCTTCCCAAAAAGACGCGTCAAACGGGCCCTTAGTATTATATCAGAAGCTTCCTCATCATATTTCCTTAATGAATAGTAGAGTTTGTAATCCCACACTGGTTGTGTACAAGAAAGAGAAGCATAGTACTTGCAATCAATGAGCTTTAAAAATTAGAAGGGCAAAAGGTAGCCTTGTTGCTTCTTATGTGTGTGGATACCTGTGTATATATTTTGAGTCTTTAAAAAATCGGTATGTTTATGAAGGATCTGAAAAAATTCCTATAGCTGTATCTGTGTTGTGTTGTATTGAGAAGAGTATGGTGGTATAAATCAAAGGGTCTGGGTATTTTATCTTTTATTTTTATTTAATCAATATTCATGTCTTTACAGGTTTTTGTTCTGATGTTATTTTCATGCAATATTCAACTTTCTAATTTGGTACTTATGTGATTTTTTTTTTCGAGAAATTACTTAAGTTCATTTCGTTAATTCAATATGAAACATTAAAGTACAGGAGTTACCTCACTGATTGTTAATGGGAGTTTATTATACAATTATATTTGTAACCTATTGCTAGGTTATAAAGACTGGAAAAACTCTTCGACGGAAAAGAAACTATTCATCATGGAATGAGGAAACTAATGTCCTAGAGTTTTCATGCCTTCAATGTGGTAATGATCTAAACCAATCTTTTTGGGAAGTTTTTTTACTGAATTTAATTTTGCACAATGCATGTTGTATATCATATTCTTTTCATTGTCAGGTCATTATATTTGTAATTAGTCTTCTTGCTAATCTGTTCTATTATGAAATGCATCTATGACAGTCATGAAGTTTTGTGATGTTTATGTGAATATTTTGATGAAAGATGAAGTAGAAGAGAAAAGGAGAAGAAAGAAGATTATCAGTGCAAAAGTTTAGTTGGGTGTGTGGTGGCTTTTATTAACTCTGTTTTAAGAGTGGTCGACTTGTTTGGGGTATTATGGTCTCTTCTCTTTACTTTATATAATTATTACTTTACAGATCTGTCTTACCGTCCCCATGTCATGACACTTAATTAGGGGTAGGAATGTCAATCTAACTGCTTTGAGTGAAAAAAACTCTCTTTTTCTCTCATTTGTATTCTTTGTTTTCCTTTTCTTGTTGGGTGCAAAGTTCTCTTTATTTTCCTTGCTCACAACTTGTTTTTTTCCTCAAGTATTGCTTCCACTGGCCATAGACACAAGGGCTGAGCGTTCCATCTCAGTTTTCATAACAACTCTTCTAGATGCCTCGTGCTGAACAATTGAATACATCTCATCAATAGAAGGAATATTACTAGTTCCCAACAACTGCATCCTAGCCTAGAAATTTTAAATTCTGATTTTAGTCCTAAGAAGAACTCAAACACATGATCTTGATTGTTAAGATTTTCATACTGTTCAGCATCATCATCATCTTTCCATGGATTATTCTAATTTAATTCTTCCCTCAAGGCATGTAGGGCATCATAATAGGCTGGTACACTCATCTTCTCTTGTTTAAGATTCACATTTTCCTGCCTAAGCTGGAAAATCTTTATCCTGTTCTTCCTTTGTGAATTTGTTTTGTCTTATTCACTCTTTTCTAATTTGTGCATCAGTACCAAGAAACATGAAGCCTCTACTAATTTGAGGATATGTGAAAGTCCATAACCATAACCTGATAGTCATATTTTCATGTTTCGATATTTCCATCACCTTCAGCCTGCCTTTTTGTCTTTCTAGTCAAGTAGCCTAGTTTGCCCCCGCCATCAATATAGACCTTTACAGACTGAAAATATTCCAAAAAATTAGTACTATCAAGYTTGGTTGGTAGTAATCCGGTATTGATCTCCAAGGCTGGAAACATTCATTCTAGAAGTTGAAAGGTCGTAGACCTTGATTTCACAGAATCTTGGGCCATCTCCAATCAACAGCAATAGTTCAGATCCAGGAAATCAGACTCAACAATACTCAAGTATTCAACCCGAGCAGCACAAAGAAGCAGCCCCAAGTAGAACAAAACTGGAGAGAGAGAGAAGAAACCCAGAAAACCCAGACCAACCTAGCCAGCCCAATGCCAAACTAAATTTAAATCCAACTAGAGAAAATCCCTAAACAAACAACAGTAGAAGACAAGACAAAAAACGATAGAAGAAACCCAGACCAACCTAGCCAGCCCAACGCCCACAATATCTCCAAGCAAGAACCCAACCCCATACTGGAACTCCAAACACCTTAACTCTTCCTCTCAGTTTTTTGAGTACAATCTTCTTGTCGTCTTTTGACTTTTTTTTTTCGGTTTTTTGACAATCTTGTTAGGCCCAACACCAAATAGACCACCTTTTAACCTTGTGAAAACCTTAGAAACTGGGATCTGCTATCGTGTTCTTTTGTTCTTTTCAGTTCTGAATCTTCTGATGCATTTAGAGTTCCCACAGCTTCTTCAGACTTCCCTGCAGACTTCCGACTCCTAACTGAAACCACCGCCCTCTCGACCTCTCCTTCTGGCTCCTTGATTATCTCCCTGCACCTTTCTGCAATCGCTTCCATCTCTTGCATTCTTCAGTTATCCCAATTACAATTGACCACTGGAACTTGTGTACTTTCATTCTTTCTGTTTGCATCTCTCCACAGACCTGAATGCTTCCTTTGCAAATTCTTCCCTTCCTAGGAAAAACAGAACCTGAGTTTTGCTGATTTCCACTTCCCTATTCACCACTTTCTTGATGTCACAAGTCTTTTCTACCATATGGGTCTTATCAATCATTGGTTCAGATTCACTTTCCTCCCCTGATTCCTCTTCCATCCCCTGCTCTCTGTTCTCCTCTAATGGGAATGTTCTATATTTTTTTTCCTTTTATATGTTTTAGTCTTACCTTCTTCACCATCACTTCCCTCTCCCTCAATCCCTAATTCTCTCTTCCCTCCTCTCTCCTCTTCTAAAACTCTATCCCCTTCTCCTCTGTTCCCTCACAGCTCTTCCCTTGCCCCTAATTTCCTTTGCCCCTTTAGTCCCATCCCCCTCAATTCCCTGTCTGTTCTCCCCCCCCCCCCTTCAGCAATACTACTTACGTTACTTATCGGAAAAATCAGAAAAGTTTCTTCCCCGTTCTCTTCTTCCACCACCATTTCTTGTTCTCCCCTAACTATTTCCTCAATCCTTTCCAAAACTTCTCCCTTACAATCATTGGAATTCAAAAAAGCCTTCCCCATCCTCACCTTTTTCCTGTTGAAGAAAACTAATTTCAGATTCCGCCTGAACATCTTCCTTCTCTTCTACATGCCTTTTTTCACCCGAGTCGGCCTTCTCTAAATTGTTGAACTGTTCTTATCTTTAATGAAAAATCTTGTCATTCTCCAAACAAAATCTTCAGCATCACCAATTGCCTCTACTGTAACCTCCTTCCCTATTGACTGATCTTCAAACACTGGACCAGCTGATCGATCAACGGTACACTGTACACTCGCCATCTTTTGTCATCACTCGGCTCAAAGTTGATCCCTTCGACTCAAAATATTTGCAACCATCAATTTGCTTGACCCAAGAAGACCTCCTAACGTCTTGAGCAAATTCGCTTTCGTTAATGGGGCCCCCTCTTCAGCCCAAAGCTAAAAAACTTGTGTCTCTTGGACTCATCATTACAACCCTGCCCAAAGCCCATCTGTTTCCCACCCAGCTAATCTCCCCCTTTTTCGTTCACGTGCTCCCCAAGAGACCACGTGTTGGGTAGCTAAGGTCATTCCCAACCAATTGTAAAATATCCTCTTTCTTCCAATAAATCCGTTTTCCTTCTTTACCTCACTCCCAACCTCCCCTATCTTGATATCAGCACCACCACAACCTTTTTATATTGAGCATGCAATTTATTCAGCATTGAGCTTTTAACACCAACACCCTTTCAACTTCTCCCTTTCCCCCTCTTCTTCCACTCTGTTTGCGCCATGTGGACTCCACTAAATCCAGTTAAAATCGTCTTCAACCTCTTTCCCTCCATTCCACAGAAATGCTTCATCTTCCATTGCTACCCAGAGTTTCCTCCATCTTCCTTCAGCAAAGAGATCAATTAAACGGAGAATCCTATGCAGATTAGCATCGGTAACTTTAATCTTCACCATGTAGAGATCATCAATACAGATATCTTCCAAAACTCCTCCACATGCCGTTGCTACCTTATTGAAGACATGATCCAGCCACAAGTTGAATGGAAGTCCAAAAACCTTCAACCTCACACTTCCTTCAGGGATTGAAGTCTCATTACAAGGTGTCGAGTTTGCCACAGTGACCGTACCTTCCAGGGTTTCAAGAGTCATGAACTCTGCCTGAAAGTTCCCTAAATCCAGCATCACCTTATTGTTGTCAAATGGGTCAAGCACAGCCGAATCCAAAGTTGGAATTCTAAACGTAACATCATTAAGGATCCTCTTCCAATCTACCACTTTCTTCTTTTTCAACACAACCATCTTTTTACTCCAATCTTCCTTGCATCCTCCTAACACAAGCCTGGGAGTACATACTACTCTACCTGACATCGACTGAAGACTTTGTTTTTGACTGTCTGGTACCTGTATCTGTGACATCTTCTTAGTCCCTAAACTAATTGAATTTTCCTTTTTTAACCAACACCTTTCTACATACTCCTGCAGCACCTTGGCGACCCTGGTCCAGCCCTGACCATTCATCCCGTCTGGCAAACAAATAACCTGTCTCCTACCATCTCCCATTACTTCATCCGGCCTCAGAAAACATCCAGTCTGGATTGCCCCATCAACGAATCCTTTAACCCAACCTTCCACGTCTTGAGACAAGAAAACTGTGTATCTCCGTTTCTCTTCAAACTTCCGTACTTCTCCACCTCCTTTACTTTCTTTGAACAAAAAGCTCTTTTTCTACACCGGAAGTATCTTCTTCCAAACTGATTCTTCACCTAAACCCCAGACTGAATATTCCTATTTTCCACAGAAAAAATGTGAAAAATATTAAATACTCCTGACAAGATTTCTGATTATGCTTAAAAGCCTCCTTAAACCATTCTTGACTAAGGGGTGAAACCCCAACACTGGTAGCTAAACCTCTTGTGATGCCACTGTTATTAATTAAGATGAAGAAGCTGTCAAAATTTGAGCCAAAGACAACACCAGCAGGCCGTAAATCCACTCTGATACCATTTTAGTCAATGACAGATATCTACATGATGATGTAAGAAGAAAAGATGGGAAAATAGCAAATAGGATTGGATACCTTAAGGTCGCCCCACTCGAGTTTATATACGTCATCATTTAAATGAAGAGAGATTACAAAAATACCCTTACATAATTTGTGATGCTTGTAATGTTCAATTTAATGATTAATGAATTCATTTTTACTATTTAAAAAAAAAAGTCCTCACATAAGAAATACGAGGCAACTTTATTTTTCTCACTGTTCCTACAGAGTCCTATGATGCTAGACTGTGATAACCAGGCAGGAATAAACATTGCTCACAATCTAGTGCAACATGATCAGACTAAGCATTTTGAGGTGGATCGATATGCTTTATCACGGAACGTATTGCTAGTGGTGAAGTYTGTTTGCCTTTTATGATCTGTAGATGAACTGAGTGATTCTCTTTGAAAAGGTGTAGCATGGCTGAAGCTTGAGAGCGAGTGTTGATATGGAAATGTCTTTTTGGTCTTTGTAATTGGCTGCTAATGAGGCACCTAATCAGGGATTATTTTGTAACTTGATCATTTAGTATATAAGTTAATGAAAAAGGGATATGGGAACTAAGAATCAAGACAAAACTTCTTCTTGCAATATTTTCTCTCTTTTTTTTTTTTTCAAATTTTCTTGCAATATTTCGCAAGTCATTGCATACTTTTACTGTTAAAACTGTTAAATTCTGAATATAGATAAATATCCCTCTTTTGATGTCACTGAAAATTTCTGCCATTTGTATCTTTCCCTTGCCGTCTCTATGGTTACTTGAATTATATATTTAATTGGTTTCTATACCATCTATAGGCACTGCATTAGGTGGGTTTCGATGCAGCCAGACCACTGCTCATCTCTAATGCTATGCATGTGGAGGAATGATGCCATCCAGAAATGATATTAATATACCACAACACTGTAAGTAATATTATCATATATACATACTGTTGAACTCTATTTGCTTGTYGCTTTGGTTTCAGTTGTAAAATTATTATTTATCTTTTTTTACTTCATTCTTGTTTGTCTTTTACCAACACAGTTTATTAGAAGAATGGGAAAAAATGCTCTGGTACAGCTAAACAATGTCAGTTTCTACTGAAGATCCATATCTAGTAACATTAGGACCCTAGCTACAAAAATGTTGTAACCAATACATCAGGTGTTCCATCATCTGAGACAACCCAAATAATAACACCCATGTCCCTACAACCCAAAAAACTAAAAGAATGCTCCCCTTGTAGGTACCCCAAGGGGAATATTTTTTGAACAATGCTAGCATCTCTAAAGTGAGTAGCCTGAAATATGAGTGTAGGGACCATTGCTAGTGTAAGAACACATGTTCAAGTATGTGAACTGTTGATGTTCGGATTGGCCGAGGTACTGTCATTTCACTCCTAAGCCGAGGTGTCCGAGGTGCAAGGTGCCCAAGGCCCGAGKTGTCTGAGGTGGCCGAGGGTAGGTAGGTCGATCCTGCGAGGTGAGAGCACACGTCAGAGGCCCTGGGTTGGTACCCGAGGCGGAGATATCGACGGTCAAGTTAGTATGTCTGTATGAGGTGGCCGAGGCTTGAGGTACGAGGGCTCAGATGAGGCCACAAAGGAGGATACAAAATCTCAAGGAGAGCTCGAGAGTCTTAAGTTCTGGATCCCTACTTTTGRGGGAGGCACCCCCTATTTATACTTGAGGCCGCCGGGTGATGGCAGAGCTCAGGCGGTCGAGATGGAGTCTATATGCGGGGAGCGTGGCCATCCAAGGCCGCCAGGTGACCTCGCGCAATTGGTTCTGAGAGGGCTGCCGAGCTCAGTCCTGCGCACGCCCTGATTGGTTCCGCGAGGCCCGTTGAGCTCGGCTCTGCTTGTGTCCTGATTGGTTCCACCCTGAACCACGCCGACTGGCACTTGTAGGCCTGCCATTGGCCCAGCCGAATGTGCCTACATCATGAACTATCATTTTATGATAAAAATGATGAGGTTTGGTCCCTTTCTAATCCATATCTCCCAATACCTTGGATGTGCAGGATCAAGACCACCATTGGGCAATGTCTGAAATATGAGATTATCAACATATTACATCTGCCAGACCCTGTTCAGCATTTGATCTCTACACTTGAATAGAGTGAAACCCATTATTTTCTCCCGTGGGATTCAGAATTCTTTTTATGAATAATAAGAAATAAGAAAGAAGAGAAGATAGAAAATAAGAGAGGAGTAGAGATCATTGGTCTGGTGATATGACACACCCATTTTTCTGTGTTTAATGAGAAAAATTCTTTATATGGTATCTGAAATCATCTAAATTTACAATAAAACCCCAATTGTGCTAATATTACATTGAAGTGCTTACTATATTTATTTTTCATTAGATATTAACTTGTAGAAAATTAAATACTCTACTAGCCCCACTAGCTACTTTTCCTGGAATAAAAAATAATGTAATCTTGGTAATAGTACTCCAGATCAGGGATGTCAATGATTTAGGTTTAGAATGGGTTTGGCTGAATCTGAAGTCACTAAAACCCTATGTAAACCTGACCTGACTTACTAAAATGGAAACTGTCAGACCAAATTGACCTTGAGTTTTGTCATTATATGAGGATTTCTCTTCTTGAAATTTTCTGCAGGTTTAGGATGTGATAGAGCCTTTTGTGGGGCTTATTGGCAGGCCCAAGGGGTTGTTCAAAGTGATCTTTATGCAGTTTGTATTCCTGGGAACTTCAAACCCGTATGTACATCAAGTTGGTAATTAGTTTTATGGTCATTAATTTGTTTTTTTATTTTTTTTGAACTTTCAATTCCAACATGCATTTCCAGGCTCCACATACTCTTCCAAAAGGCTTTCATTTCCTTTGGGGAAAATGTGATCTAGAGACAAGGAAGGTAGTTCTTTAAGTAAAGAATATGTTTTGCGTTTTTAAGCTTGTTAAGAAAATAAAGTTGCATCTGAGCTTTTACTAGAAAAATTAACTGCATTGTCCTCAACATAGTACTTTGTTGAGTCTTTTTTTCATGCCCCTTGGTTTTGAAGGCCATTTAAGTATCTTCCAGATGAAATTCATTTTTTTTGTTAATTTGTTTATGTATATCTGGATCTATGTATGTAACATTATGTGGTATCCTCCTTGTCAAGTATGTTGGAAATATTGTGCTAACTTATGAAGTTATATAATGCTAGTACAGGGCCCCATGATTTGATAAAATATTGGGCAATCCTTCATTCAACTAAAATGCTTCAATAGTGTATTTAGGCTTTAAAAAATGTATTCATATGTTAAAGTGGTTTTTCCTAGCATTCTAAGATTTAGATGGGTGGATTGGATGTTTCATCCAGTAAACCTTCCTGATCAAACAATTTGACAGGACCATAGCGTAGAGTAGGCTAATTTAAGACCAGTGGCATAGATTGTCTAAATCAATCTGTCTTATATCACTAGGAAGTAGGATAGAATGACTTGATTAATTTTAGTAGTCAGATCAGCACTTGTGTAGTATTGTGTTAGTGGGATGGACGATAGAATTAGAGAAGTCCTAGGTCTGTTTAGGCTTCTAGAGTTGTTATTGGAGTCTTCACAGTCTGCAATACAGATTTGAATCGGATAAGACATAAGAAAAAAAGGAAAAAAGAAAAGAAAAATGTATAATTTTGGTCTGCAAGAACCCAGTTGRTTCTGAAAGCTTGCTTGGTATCAACCATCTGACACTGAACCAGGTATTTCAAATTCTATCAAGGGAAAATGAAATTGACATGGTAAAATCAAGGTTGGCCACATCACCCTAGCTGTGATCCTAGAAGCTGATTAAAACCCATTAGGAAATATGTTTTTATCCACTTTCAAAAGCTGATTTTTTGTATAATTTCTTATTATATCACTCCTTAAGCTCTTATCTCTTAACCTAGACTTAATTTAAGCCTTAGGACTAGATATAGGCCAACTTATTCTCGTTTCAACCTTTGAATTTGATTTAAAGATAATCTCTATAACTGTATAATTAGAAGTCTTTCCCCACATTCTACCAGTGATTTAAAAGGTGTGCCTTAGGCGCACCTAGTCTCTCAAGCGAGGCGCACTTTAAGGTACGTGCCTCGCCTAGGTCCTAGGTGCAACATTTTCAAAAGGTGTGCGCCTAATGCCCCTAGGCATGCACCTGGTGTTAGACCCACTCGGCCCCCGGACGGGCTTGAACATACATTTGAGCTCGCGGGCTTGACCTCGGGCCAAAAAGCCCAGCCCACAATAAATTCGAGCCGGGCTCGGGATTTGCCAAAATAGCCCGGCCCGACCTATAGGTTAAACCCAAAAACCCTAATATCCTAAGTAACCCCTCTTCCTCATTCATCTCTTTCGAGTTAGCCGAACTGCCGAACCTCTCTTCTCTTCACAATGACTCACATCACATCCTCACACTCTTAGGCATCCACAGAACCGACGAACACTCACTGACGCAACCAGTAAACTCTGGCAGACCGGCGGTGAGTCTTCTCTTTCTCTCTCTCTCTCTCTCTCTCTCGTTCCTCTTCACACTTCTCTCTCAAATCTCAGACACCGGCGAGGCTGCGAACACAGGCACCAGCAACGGCGGTGAGTCCTCTCTCTCTCTTTCTCTCTCTCTCTCCCTCTCTCTCTCTCAGAGATGCGAACTGACTTCACTTTTCATTGTCAAAATCTCGGCTCACCGGCGAACACAGCCACTGGCAGTGAGTCCTTTGTTAGGTCGGGCTTTGGGCTTTTTATCAGGGCCGGGCTTGGGCCAAGTTGTAGGCCCGTTGGTCGGGCCGGGCTCGAGCCTAACAAAATCCTGTTTATGTAGAGTAAAACCCCAGCCCGGCCCAACCCATGAACAGGTCTACCTGGTGTGCCTTATGCTTCAGCCCCCTAATTTTCTAATGTTGTTATTCATTCATCCTAGTAAAATATCTTCTTAAAAGACAATTAATATTATAAAATTATTTTAAAATCATTTATTTTTGTGTAAGGATTAAGAATGACCAAGAGGGTTTGTGGAGACACTATTAAGGGCAGTAACCACAGTGAAGTTAGATGGAACTAATTATCGAGCATGGTCTCAATTAACTAAGATCCATGTTTGTAATAAAGGGAAGTGGGGGTACGTCACTAGGAGTAAGAAGTAACCCAAGGAGGATGACGCTGACTATTGAAGAAGGATGCAGGATTGTAATGTACAACAAAAAGAATCAAACAAGATTTTAATGTACCTCTAGATGTAGGAATATGCAGATGGCCTAAGTGAATGGCAGGGATCTGAAGGCAGATCTGATTCGTCATTTGATATTCAAATTTTATGGGGTTGTCACACTGCATTAAGATCTTTTCCTTTAGCATATGAAATATATTTTAACGTCATCTCTCTCTCTCTCTCTCTCTTGATGTTCTCTATTTTGGATTTTGTATTGTTTTGTGAATTATGATATTAGGCATCTTTGCAGATTGCAGAACGTGCCATCTCCAGAATTCCATTTTCTGCACATCAAAATAATCAATATGAGCAAGATGTATGAATTCTTCTGTGCTTGGATATTAAACTTTTATGATTTTTCACTCTTTTATCTGACCTAATGTTTTTGGTTTCCCAGATCACAGAAAGATGCATCAGACAGATGGGAAAAACATTACAGGATGTTATATCAGATTGGATCACAAAGCTGAACAACAGAGAAATTGGTAATGTGTAAATGAACTAAGAGAATAAATCTGTAAGATGCTCTGTTTTCTCTTGTTGACATTCTCTTTTTATGTTGACTGTCTCTGAAACTTCTTCTTCCTTAAGTTATTCAAAATTCTCTTCTTTAAGAAAAATGTGCACTAGGAACCCCCTCATTTAGTTTGTCTATAAAATTCATGCAAACTACAACTTCCTATTTTCTTAGATCCATTGGTGGAGAAGAGAGAAAGTGTTCGGAGGATCATAATAAAGAAAGAATGCAATTACCTTAATACCTTTACGGAAAGTAAGACGATTAATAATAACAAATAACAACAGTCCCCTTCAAGATGGGTCCTATATATCATTGAATATCCAACTTGCTATGGTACTCACTATGATGCGAGGTAGACATACATTGGTGAATACATAAGCCAGTTAATCTTTAGAACTAATAGAAGGAAGACACATTTCACCTTTTCAATTTTCTCAGATAAAATGCTTGTTGGTTATGGCCGTTTTTTAACAGCTGAAAATGGTGAACTGAAAAGTTATTGCTTTGTCTTCTAGAGAACAAGATTTTAAGGAGGTTGTCAGCTCAGTAATGGGTGAAACTGAAGTTATGTAGACCATTATATCCTTGAAAATCTTATTATTTAATTATCTTAATAATTAAAAGACAATGGAATAAGTCTTTCAGTTCAGCAACTTAAGCTGTTATCAAACGGCCCCTAAAATGTATTTTATCCTATCATGTGACTTAGGTTATATGCAATGTTTGTAACCATTTCATTGTTATGCTATATAGACATATTTTCCTGTCATAGGAAAACCTAACTCAATTTCCAAACCACAAAACCTCAACAGGTCCAAGTGCCATAGCCCTATACTCAGCTTCAGTACTAGATCAAGCTAATGTTTTAAAACGTGGAGGCGTGACATGAAGCTTTCCACTACCTAGAGGCGTGAGGCATAGTTCAGAATGTAAGAGGCATAAGCCTCCCGAACACAAGGAGGAAGAAGAGGAAGGAGGAAGAAGAGGCAGAAGAATCTCATTTTTCCTTATTTTTAATGTAAATCTTTTATATTATAAAGAATGAAGATGCATAGCACTAGTTAAAGGGGGGGGGGTGATATGATGGTGGTTTTCCCTTCATTGTTCCTTATAGCAGAAGATAGGGATGTGGTGGTGGCAGATCAGTTTGAGTGGCGTGGAAATTCAGGATACTGGTGTCCAAATTTTAGGAGGCATCTCAATGACTGGGAAGTCTTAGATCTGCTAGAGCTGCTCCAACTAATTCAGGATCATCAACTGAATCCAAATCAGCAAGGTTCTAGAATTTGGAAGTGGGCTAGGGATGGGATTTTCTCCGTGAAGTCCTTTTATTTGAAGCTGAGTGCTGGTGAGTCCCAGGATTTTCCATGGAAAGAGACTTGGCTCCCTCATTCCTACTAAAGTCTCCTTGGTCAGGACAGCAGTTCATGGTGAATGTCTTTCTAAGGATCAGTTGAACAGGAGGAGTTTGGTGCTGCCCTCCCTAAGCTGTGTGATGTGCAATGAGGAAGATGCATCTGTGGATCACTTATTTATTCATTGTAAGGCTGCTCATTTGCTCTTCAGCCACTTCTGATCCCTATTAAATATCGGGTGGTGCTTACCCAAATAGGCCCGGTGCTGAGTCTTTTTCTGAGAGCCCTTAGCTGGTCGAACTAGACAGTCTGGAATGATGTGACCATGTTGCTTGCAATAGGTACACACATTCTTCTTCTTACAGGGAGATGCTATATGTCCAAAACCCTTACACTCATAGCACTGGGTTTTGGAGAGGTCCTTGGAGGTTGGCTTCTTACCCCCATGAGCAACAAAGGCTGTTTCAACCCCAACTTCAGCCATCTTCCCATCAAACCTGGCTGCAGTGAGAAGTCTAGTCTCTTCTCTCAGAAGTTCCCCTAAAACAGAATCCATATCTGGAAGTGTTCCCCTACTCAGAATGTTGGACCTGATTATCTCATATTCAGGTCTGAGTCTCATCAAGAACTGAGTCACCTTTCTCTTCTCAAAGTGCTTCTGAAGATATTTTACACACTCCACTGGATCCGAGGGTTCAATGTGAACAAACTCATATTCAGCCCATAAATCAAGAAAACCAAAATAATACTCATGTATCCTCCTATCTCCTTGGCTGTAAGAGAATATTTCCGATTCTATCTGATATTGCTTAGATACATTGGACTGTTGATAAACCTTTTCTAGGTACATATACATCTCATGTGCTGTTTTCATTCTCCTCATGGGAACAGATGTATGATAGTCAATAGAACTCAGAATCCTAGAAACAAGTTTACCATTGTCCAACTTCCGTTGTTGTAAAGCTTTGGCCTCGATCTCAGCTGGTTTGGTGACCGTTCGATTCAGATATCCTTCTAAACCCTTTCCCTCATCATAAAAGTTGAAGTGAAACTTCCACATCCCATAGTTCTGTCCATTCATCATTATAGGGATGATATCACCTCTGTCTGAAGCCATTTCAGCAAGAAAATAGCACAGGTTCGGCTGAAGTTTAAAGAAATTAATCTGAAGCAAAACTTGATCCAAAAACAAGAGAAATAGGCTGTAATCAATCCAAGAGAGTAAAAAAAACTGAGATAGAAACCCCTTACTTTCACCGGAGATTGTTCAAGATCCAAAACGAAGAGAGGCTGAACACACAGTCCAGAAAAGGAAAGTCTGGGCGCAGCAGCCTAGAAGAAGAGTCCAAACCTCTCTCAAAACTTCACGGATCTCTGTGAAAATTTCAGAATATGTTGAGAAGGGTTGGGCGACAACTCCTTTCAATTCTTGCTGTAAACGGAGATCAAAYGAGAGAGATCCAATAAAATCTCTCTCTGGGTGCGCAGAAAACAGAAGAGGAGTTCTTGGATAGATCAAAACAGTCCAGGACCACTCGGCAGAGATGTAGGTTTTCAATAGATCACAAGGGAAAGATAGATAAGAGAGAAGGAAGATCAAAGAGCAACCTGCTCTAATACCATGTGAACTGAATTCAGATCTAGAAGAAAACAGATCTAGGGGTGTCCAGAATAGTCGACCCCCACCCCAAAGAGCCTCTTTTATATTAAAGAGATGAAAAGTATGTACAGTTACAAGAATGCCCTTACAGGGCTGAAAGATAAAAAGAACAAATAAAATAATAACTATGACACTGTACAACAAGGACTGCTCTAATAATGTACATCAAGATATATCTTCACACAAAGTGCTCTATCTCCTACCATAAGAGGTCTGTATCCTTACTTTGTACTCGTAATCTAATTTCTCAATTGATATGCATGAGTTACCTTCTGATTCTATGAATATGTTTTTGCAACTCCATCCCAAATCTCTTTAGTAGTATTTTCCTATAAAAAACTCCTACTAATATGGGTAACATAGAGTAACATGGCCAAGTTCCCAAATTYCCATGTGCACCAAGAGCCATACATGCCATCCAATATCAAAGTAATGATTATTTCTACACTTTTGAGGTCACCGACACCTCCCAGAGCCATCCTAGAATCACAAGTTGATTTTTGATCAATCCCACTAGCATCCATGCTACTTCAAACAACCAAAAACACAAAGAAATGATAATAGAAAGCCTCCTAGACCAATCAATTTGCTCCAAAGTCAACATTTGGTAACCTTAGACCAACTTGGGGCAAGAGAAAAGGAAGTTGACAATTCCCAAGCTCTTTTGGGTTTCATAGAAACTATAGGACAGGGTGTCAATCTCACCAGATGCACTAGAAACAACTTTAGGATGACTTGGCCTTAGTAAAAATACACAAAACTGGAAACACCTCAATCACCTCACTTTTAGATTGAAAAACCCTAGCCAAGACCTTGTAGGGCACCTTTTTTAACTGCACTCTACATCAACCTTGATTAAAATCCTGGATGGGGTGGTATTAGACCCATTAAAAGGGGATAAGAGGATTTGGACCTTGTCTCCCTCTGGTGATTTCTCTTGTGCATCTTTCTTTAGAGCTCTCTCATAGTCTTCTATTGGCATAGGGCAATCTTTTCGAGTAAGGGAAGTTTGGGGTTAACCAATTTCCCATAGGATAGGGGCTTTATGTTGGGAAGCTATACTAGAAAGGTTTACATTTGTGACCTTAAGTAATTTGTGTTTATGTTCTCATTGGTTCATTCTTTGTAAAACTAATGGTGAGAGTTGTTGTCACATTAATCGATTGTCCATTTGTTTTCGTGGTTTGGGATTGGTTTCGCTTTATTTGGTTATAGATGGTGTAAGTACATGTTGTTCACCACAACTGCTATTGGTGTGAAGGTATCAAGCTAGAATCATAGAAACACTCACGACAACACATAGGCTGACGTAGGTCCGCGATGAAGTCCATAATGCGCCACGGACTTGTGATGAACCCGTAACCCATCAAACACCTGCAATGAGCTCAAAGCCATCACAGGCATGCAATGGATGAAAACCATCAACTAAAGTCGCTCGTAGTAGGACATCTGACAGGATTAAGCAAGACACATCAGACTAGTCTTGATGTCACACACGCCATGTCTATACAGGAGACCTGTGAAGGGAAGTAGCACACGTGTACTATGAGAATCCTTAGACGAAAGGAAACTTCGTCCTGGAAAGATCTCATGAGACACGTGGTGAATCCCTAGCAGTGTCCCCCTGACAACCGACACTGAATCGAAGATCCCCTTTCCAAATAGGATTCAAACCCTTTTTGGCTCCTTCCCTTCAGGGCCTCGAGATCTCCCCTTATAAAAGGGGGTGTGGATCATAACAAACACACAATTCTGTCAATAGAAGATCGTAGCCTACCTTTGTTACCCCAAACTCCTAGCCTTTCCTTGCCCTTCAAGGAGACCATCGCACTTAGCCTTATCAAATCACTTACATTAGAACCTCTGGTTCGTCCTTGATCGCGGAGGACGGCTACTCGCAAAATCAACCTTTCCCCTGTCCCAGAAGAACAACCCAATAATCTTGACAAT